TGAAGAAGAAGGAAAAACACGTCGTGATCAAGTTGTTACATTACAAGATCATGTTATAGAACAAATGCCTGAATATATAAAACAAGGTCTTTTTCAAAACATAAATGAACGTGTTTGGCCAATATCAAGAAATATTCCAATTAGAGAAGTAGAAGATCGTCTTTTTGATTTAATACAACCATTTGTTCGAAATGGTCAAATTGAATTAATTCCAGAAAATTTACATGAACAATCAGAATGTCTTATTAAAGGTTCTTTCAATTGTTTTGAATTATGAAAGAAAAAAGTAACTTTATTTGTTTATTTTTCAGGTAATTTTGATATATTAGTTGGTGCAGATGGTTCTAATTCATTTGTACGTCGTTATTGTAATATTCAAATGATAAGTGAAGGTCTTGAATATGCATGTGGTGTCGCTTATAATATTCCAAATAATATTCCATCATCAGAAGAACCACTTCATCAAGCACTTAATTGTATTTTAACTGCTTCTCAAACTCGCTATTTAGTTAATTCATCAACAAGTCGTCGTGGTTATTTAAATATTCGTCTAATTCAAGATGAATATAAGGAATTACAAAATCGTTTAGAAATATTTCAATCACATAATGAACCATTAGATTTATTAGATTTTAATAAATGTCCACAATCACCTATCTGGACAATTATTCGACAAGGTTTACAATTTTTTAAAATTTCACCAAAATATGTTTTTCGTGTTATACCTATTGAAATTAATGTTCGACATGCATCAATTGTTGTTCGTGAACTTCGTCATGAAATTGATAAAAATGAAAAACAAACTCCTAATGAATATGATGAAAAAAAATATAAAACTACGTTAGCTTTTCTTGTTGGTGATGCAGCAATGTGTGTTCATTTTTGGCCTGGTCGTGGAATGAATAGTGGAATGAAAGGTGCTATAGCATTAGCACGTAATATTCTTCGTTCATGTACAATAAATAATTCAATAAATATACGTAGACCATTACGATTTTTGAATTTTCTTGATTATGAAGGTTTTATGGCTCGTCTTCGTGCACGTGAACAACAAGGTCGTTCATTGCGTGTTTTAATTGATCCAATTGATAAATCTGTTGAAGCATCTTATTCATATGCTC